CTGTTAGGTCACACATTCTTCCTCATCATCCTCACTCATCTGTACCTTCATCGCATGGCTTCACACAGACCAGTTCTGATCGTCTCTGTGGGATTTCATTCAGACCACCACAGTCTGTAGACCCCCTGAACTAAACTCTGTGTCTCTGTCTCTGTGTGTGTCTGTGTGAGGCAGTGTGGGACATGTCTTCAGACCTCCTGGTGGACCTGGGGGAGGACCCTGCCACTGCACAGTTAGGACAGCTGAAGCTGTCCACCATAGAGGACCAGCAGTGGCCTCCAGATGAGTCTGGACTCAGTAAGTCAGGTAGGAGTGTCCACTTCCTGTCTTTAGTCCTCATGGAGGACCTGTGAAGTCCTGACCCCCTGTCTGCACATGTGTTTCAGAGACCGACGTGTCCCAGGACTTTGTGGCCGGTTCGCCCCACCTGCCCTGGGACCACCCTTTCTACGACATCGCGAGGCATCAGATCATTGAAGTGGCAGGTCAGTGGTAGAACTGGTAGTGTTCTGTGTTCCTGGTGTCAGTGGTAGAACTGGTAGTGTTCTGTTGTCCTGGTGTCAGTGGTAGAACTGGTAGTGTTCTGTGTTCCTGGTGTCAGTGGTAGAACCGGTAGTGTTCTGTTGTCCTGGTGTCAGTGGTAAAACCGGTAGTGTTCAGTTGTCCTGGTGTCAGTGGTAGAACCGGTAGTGTTCTGTTGTCCTGGTGTCAGTGGTAGAACTGGTAGTGTTCAGTTGTCCTGGTGTCAGTGGTAGAACTGGTAGTGTTCAGTTGTCCTGGTGTCAGTGGTAGAACTGGTAGTGTTCAGTTGTCCTGGTGTCAGTGGTAGAACTGGTAGTGTTCAGTTGTCCTGGTGTCAGTGGTAGAACTGGTAGTGTTCTGTTGTCCTGGTGTCAGTGGTAGAACCAGTAGTGTTCTGTTGTCCTGGTGGTCAGTGGTAGAACCAGTAGTGTTCTGTTGTCCTGGTGGTCAGTGGTAGAACCGGTAGTGGTCTGTTGTCTTGGTGTCAGTGGTAGAACTGGTAGTGTTCTGTGTTCCTGGTGTCAGTGGTAGAACCAGTAGTGTTCTGTTGTCCTGGTGGTCAGTGGTAGAACCGGTAGTGGTCTGTTGTCCTGGTGTCAGTGGTAGAACTGGTAGTGTTCTGTGTTCCTGGTGTCAGTGGTAGAAATGGTAGTGTTCTGTTGTCTTGGTGGTCAGTGGTAGAACTGGTAGTGTTCTGTTGTCCTGGTGGTCAGTGTGTGACCTGAGGGTCCTGTCTGCAGGGGACGATAACTTCGGCAGGAAGGTGATCGTGTTCAACGCCTGCAGGATGCCCCCTCAGCACCAGCTGGACCACCACAAGCTGCTCATGTAAGTCAGACCACCCTGGGTTCTGGAGAGGACCTGCTGACCTGACCTGTGTAAGCCCACCTGTCTGGACCCTCTGCAGGTACCTGAAAGGAACTCTGGACCAGTACGTAGAGAGTGACTACACCCTGATCTACTTCCACCACGGGCTGACCAGTGAGAACAAACCTTCTCTGGGCTGGCTGCGAGACGCCTACAGAGAGTTTGACAGGAAGTAAGTGTGTGAGACGCCACGTCCTCCTGGACCAGACCTGAGTCCTGCTTCAGGTCCTCCTGGACCAGACCTGAGTCCTGCTTCAGGTCCTCATGGACCAGACCT